GTACCTAAATGTACCGTGCACTGTACATGTTGTGGCGAAGGTGCAATAATTTAACAGAAAAAACACGTAGAGGAAGGGTCGATATTTTTTGTACTAGTAAAGAGAACAGGGCAGGTAAATTTATAATCATTAATTATTAAAACACACGCAGATGCCTCTTATGGTTCCGCAACAATATTCGAAGTTACTCTTATTGATCTATAAATTTATCTATTTTCTTTGTTTCATTCTTTCGACGTTCTTTTTTGCTTGGACGTGTACCTCCTCTTGTACGGCTGCCAGATTATATTAGGTGTTCAACTGTTTTATTTCCCAGCTCAAGCTATAAAGGACGACATCCGGACCACTCTGCTGCTTGATAAATACCAGATGACCTGGGGTGACGTAGAAAAAACGGCAAAATGCATCATTGAGAAAATTGAACAAAGTAAGATTGTGCAAATAATATTGATCCTATACAGTAGTTAGAATTTCTGCAGAAATATTCACTCTGATCGTATTGCCATAAGTACATATCATCTTTTTTAACGAGGGCTTCATTGAGAGAATTACTTAATATGTGTCAATTTAAATGTTTTCATCACGTTTTTAAAGATATATTTTCTTATGTCAATCAGGTGGCTTCAAGGAAGAGGTGCGTTTATTTCATGGTCAAGTATCGCCAGCAGAGGAGAACTTGAAAAAAGTCAAAAAATTAATAAGTATGTTTGTCTCTTTCGTTATTATGTACATACACACCAGTGTCTGTATCTCTACATGTTTCTGTCACCTGTCTGCGTCGCTAGAACCGGAGTCGTCCTTATGTGTTGTTACCACAATAATAAGTAAACGTTTTACTGTTTTTTTTTTCCAAATCAGTGGGATTACTAATTGTCATAAAATGACGGCGATATTTGAAAAGTGTGCAGTAAAGGTAAAATGTTACTGATACATGTTCAAATGTGGCATGCAGGAAAGACATAAAAACTACTTTATTGAAAAAACAGCAAAGAACTAGCAATGTATGTCCTTATTTTCATTCTTTTAAAATATATTTCTCAAATAATAAGAAATATGAAGATAGGACCGTGAGATCTTATTAGCACTTTTGAGAAGACATTTTCTAAATTTTATATGATATAGATTTACAAATCTATCATTATACTATCCATTTGGAGCAAATAGACTAAATGCCAGGTGAAAATATTTATCATTCGTTTATTTTTTTAGAAACAATAGAACCGAGTGACAAGAGCACACTTTTCGAAAACTTTTCCGATGCCTTGAATTTTACAATATATGATAGTGAAATGTCGTCCAGGGATGGAGATAACCAGTGGAGCAGACTAATTGTTTTGTCGGGGGTGCCCAATGGTGATATGTCACAGGTGAGTTTACTGACGGTCTTAAGGTGGGAATGTAGGTTTGAGATTTTCTCTTAAAATAAAGGTCTTGGCTTTTTTCATTCCTATCACATTCATTTAATATATCTTCAAAATATCTAATTATGCTTGGAACACAGCTCTAACTACACCATTTTTATACCATTTTTATACACCTGATTTTCTCAGGCACCTGGACAGCTATAAACTTGCATTTGATGGCATTATAACACTTGAACAAAGTACTACAGCATGGAGTCAGGGATTTTTCTTCAGACACTTATTGTTGATTTTATCTATAAAAACGTGAAATTACATAAAAAATATTGGGGAATTTTCACTTTCAAAGTCTATAAATTAGAAAAGAGAGGATCAATCAAAATTTCTTAAAAAGCACTTTAAGTGCATACTTTTCATAATTAGCATGGTGAATTTGGTCTCCCTCAGGTGTACAGGTAGACAGTTATAGCTTGCTAAGATAACGCTATCTCGTCAATATTGAAAGCAAAGAAAACGAGCAAAAACCCTTTCAGGGAGGTTAGTTGTCCAAATTAGCAAATTAAATTGTTGACAGCTTTACCTGTTATCGTTCTGACGATCGCGAAGATGGGTTCTCTATTGCCGGTTGAAATTAGCTTGTTTGCATGCATTTGAATGTCAGAAAATCTTATTTTTGTATCAATCTCACCTCCTGTTAGTAACTTCAAGGGGTTATCGCTAGCTCTGCCAGAATGATTGTCAGGCAATCAAGTAAGTCCTAATGACTCAAGCAATCAGTGGCCACGTCAATTGCCGTCGGGGAAAGTGTTAGGGATGCGCTCTAGGATGTGCACACAATAGCAGCATCGCAGGCGGTCTTGTCCACATTCGCCAAGCGAAAAATGGTTCAAAAACACGGTTGTGTTACAGGACGCCGATCGGACTATCAACAACAAGAAATAGACGCAACCAAAAAGGTTTTGTTAGAGGAAATATCTAAAGTTGGGTGAGCCAGGAAAAATTCTGCGATAATAGTTGAAGAAAAAAGCAGGGTCAACTCTGTTTCAAAATTCTTCGACGCTTTGCAGGAAAAATCCTTCCTTTGTTTCTCTAGCTCCTTATAAAACCTGGTGTCCAGATTTTATCTAGTGCCCTCAGGGTTGCGGGAGCTGCTCTTTGAAAATAACACTCAGGTAGATTTTTACCTGAGCTAAATATCGCCAGTGAGGCTTCAGGAGAGTTGTGGGCCACTGAACCCTCCAATTAAGAGGTAAAGGAAGTTCCAGTTAGATGGACGATTAAGATAAAATTTGTTAAGGTTTCAGGCATTGTTTACCTCAGTTCAATAAAAGTATGCAAGACAGGGGGGGGGGGGTCAGAACAATTGTGCCTTTACAATTGATACAGAGGATTTGTTCATACAGGTGACTTTAATAAGCAGAGGATTTCTTTATATTCCGTGAAAAATACACTATATTTATATGAAAATATATCATGGTTGGCCAAAAAATTGTACGCACAGTGCATCCGTGCTTATGCCTAGTTACGCCCATGTTAAGATTTTTAAAATCTAACAACTGCATTGAGCTGTTGTCGAAAATGGATAGAAAGCATTTCGATTGTTGTCACGGGTAGCAAGCAACGGAATTTTCTACTTTTTTGCGTATCTCAAAAAGTTAACAAGAAAATCGAAAGAGCGCGTGTAACAACAAGCAATATTCAAGGGAGAACGCGTATTTCGAGCAAATCCAATGTGTCGGAAAAGATTCATCTTAGCGCTGATCACAATCAAGAGCAACTATCAAAACAGCATAAGCGGAACAATAGGCACTGCTTTGCCGATCGCTGTTTATGACAAAGGGGGCATGGCGCATACCTGTTCTATTGTTTCCCTAGACGTGCTGATGCTGCTAAGGTCCGCCCACCCTTGCCAACGGCCCTTGGCAACGAAGGCGGGGCATAGACCAGGCCACCGGTGCCGATGTGTGCAGCATCAGAATCCTCAGAAAAAACATTTTTTGTTCAAAATGTAAAAAAATTATTCTGTTTAACGTTAGATACACATTAAACCAATAATTAGACATAAAAAAACAAAAATGACGATTTTGAGCTATATTTGGGTACATCCGTACCTTAAAGGTACATATGAACCGAGCATCGGTGGCGCGTGGATTCCCAGTAACTCATATAAACAACTTCTACTAGATTCTTATACGACTCAAATTAAGTCGACATGCCAAGGGATAAACTGAATAAATCACTTGAACAGCCTTTAAAGAGGTGTAGACTGCTTCTTACTTTAATTTTTTTGGTCATAAATTTATCCTACTTATGTGACCTACTTTTCTGCCCCATGTATATACAGCATAGAAAGCTAGCAGAAAAATCCGTTCAAATTTCCTTTTTCGGGTAATATTAAACAATATCTTTTGGTAATTCTCTTTGTAATACTATTTGAAACTACAGTATATGCTGGCAGTTGGTTGGTTTTTGTGGCAAAAAAATTGACTTCATATGCATCTTTAATGTAACAAAGCTGAAATATTATGTAGCCGATTACCAAAGAAATAGTTATATATACATGCTGCATACATATTTTAAACATTTACATTGCAAACAGAACATCGTGGAAAATGACACTAAACCTTTTTTAATTTTTTTTTCGTACAAACTTCTTTACTTAATGTTCATTGCATTTTATCGTTCGTTTTATCTTCAGGTGGCCACAGATGTCAGAGACAGGTTGGAAAGAAAACTCATAATAAACGCTGAAATACACTTTTTGCTTTTCGACGATAAACCTAATGTGGTAAGTGCTTGGTATTTAATATAATTTCAAATATAGTACAGTAATCGATTGAAGTCCTTGTGTTATATTTTAATATACAGACTTGACATTTAATATGGAATATTTTTTTCCAAATCATAATTCTTATTTTTTTCATATTTTGCAGACTGATAAGGATTAAAATCGTGTTTTAATAGCTTTTGATATCTTCTTTGATGTCATTGTGACAATAGTTCGTTAATTTAATTCGCCAGTGAAGCAAATAAAAAATACATTGCCTATTCTAAGTCATGTGACAACCGTTGAAAGCGATATTTTGGGTCTCCATATTTTCCAAATTATCGTCTTTGAAAGAGTAACACGACCCATCATGCAGGCCGTTGATTCGGTGAGTAATGACCTACACACATATTGTCTATGTGGTTCAAATAGGGCGAATTTGATGACCAAGGCAGCTGCTCATTCCCTTGGTTTTGTAATTTATTTGCTATTAAAAGTGTTCTTTGTGAACTGGCAATCTCATCGTGCAACCTAAAATTGTCCCTAAGGTGCCCCCTATCAAATGATAGTCTAATGATCCCCAGATTACTCCTTTATTTAATCTGGTTCAGGTTTTCATCGATGACTACCATTGGTGTTTTGGCACCAATGTGGTATATCCACTCCAAATACTGATGCTGTCAATGACCCTAGTCACTTAAGACGCGGAACACGCTTCGTCGTAGCCCTCTCCGTGGTGTGTGAAATCTCACTTTTGACTAGTTGAGCGGTACAGGTGAAATCTGATCTCAATAAAGAAAATCACACGGGTTCAGTGTTCTACCCAGAAACGACCATGGTCTCCAATTAACCTNAAAAAAAAAAAAAAAAAAAAAAAAAAAAACTTTTTTTAATTAAAGGTCTTACTCATCGGCTTACCACATTCAATGACACATGGCAGGCAAAAGGGAAAATATCTAATAATATATTGTAGTACAAATATAGTGCCTTTTTAGGATTCTCTTGGTCTAACATAAGTACAAAATGTTATTTTTCCTGTAAGTCTTGAATTTACTAAGGCATTTTAACATACATTTTTTTTTCTTTTTCTGCGCACATATTTTTAAAGTGTTCTTGCAGGTCACATTTCAACGATGGCAAGACGTGCAGTGCAAAATGAAGACATATGCTTTACTTCTGGTGGTCTTTTTGGCCTTTCTTACTGTGGCCGTAGAAAGTGCAGCGGTTGGAAGTTTTTTTTCTTTTTCTGCGCACATATTTTTAAAGTGTTCTTGCAGGTCACATTTCAACGATAGCAAGACGTGCAGCGCAAAATGAAGACATATGCTTTACTTCTGGTGGTCTTTTTGGCCTTTCTTACTGTGGCCGTAGAAAGTGCAGCGGTTGAAAGGTATCTAAATTTAGAATAATTTATAATTTATACTATCTCAAGGTGTTAGATTGACGCAAAAGTGAAAAAAAAATCACTTGTGAAGATTCTTTTGGTCTATCGCTACTTAAAGCATCTATTACAATAACATACTGTAGCTAATGAAACTGTTCTACACTCAAAAAAAAAAAAAAAAAAAGAAATTCCAAGTTTGGATACAGAATAAGAGGGTAGATGGTGTCAATAAGCTTTTCATATTCATACTTTCAATTAGAGTGCTACCAAACAATGAAGAAGGCGCGATGTTGCGGAGGCCATTGAAGCGTGTGCGTAGAAACTGTTGCCATAGCCCCCCATTCTTGCCATCGTGTTGCCATGTACTTGGTTATGGAATCGTTCATCCAGTTGCTTGAACATCCACGAGTTACTTGGATACAGCTACGTGTACATTTTGAAGAGGAACAACATGGTTTTTCAAACTACGGAAATTTACAACGCGTCAATTTTCACTATTACACAGGGATATTCCTGGGAACAAGCTTTAAAGTTAAATTTAATGTATTCAGTCATAGAGTTTTATCTTTCGGTTGGATTTCATTTTACTGCAAGGCTATAGCGATTTCAGAATAAGACCAACATCTTTGAAGTAGTTAGGAAACAAGAAACTAGTTATACAGTTTTACTTGGTAAAATAGTAAAATAAAAGTACTGAAAACTGAGTGTTTAAAAACCTATCTTACTTAGTACTTTTCAATTATGTCCTCAGAAGTGAATTTTAGATGTTTTCAAATAATACCAATAAGCGGCAGTCTAAAGCCTAGATAACATTTGTCACGGGCCCCATGCAATGAAATCGTATACGATTTTCCGTACATTTTTTTTTTTTGACATCGTAAAGCCTCGGTCACAACCGGCCGTACGGGCTCTTATGGCCTGTTTGCGTGCAAATATTGCGCAAAATCTCACGTGCAACGCAAGTCCCTCTTGCGAAATTTGGAGTTCGCAAACAGACCGTATGCACGTACGGATGATGTTTGACATGTCCAAAAGATTCTACGAATAATCTGCGAACAGCGAGGCCGCAAAAAGTGACTTACTCCACTCGCAAGGAGATCGCGAAGAGTTCGCAAGTGAGACGTCCGTGGTCCGAGACGCACGTCGCAAGCAATGAAATAGCAAGTGCCCTTTGCATGTTGATTACGGCTCACGCCCTCACAACTAGTCGAAAGTCGAAAGCACGGCGGAAGTTCGTCGCACGTGCGTAACCCCTACGCCAGGAGTATAAAAGGTGTGCTCACGACGCACGCTCTTGTCTCGACAATTAACGACGATTGTGCAACCTGTATAACAATTTTCAAAAATTAATCGTTTTGCTTAATTCAGCTTCCAATATGCCTACAAAAGGCAAGAGAAAGAAGCTTAGAGAGCAGAAAAGAAGGGAGAAAGAAGAAGAAAGAAGGGGAGAACAGGAAGCAACACGGCTAATGATTTCTTACTGATGTATGTAACATGATAGAAATAGCTGACAAAAAAAATGATCATAACAGTTTAATGTCTGTGCCTAGATACACAGCAGCTGAGAAACTGCAATACCCCGTGCCTTGGTCAACTACCTAAAGGTCAAAATGTGCAGACACAAGCCCCAAACTAAGATTTTTTCCTATGAACACAACGTTGTTGTATACAAGCAAATCCTTACAACCACTATAAACAAATTTTCTACATAAATGCAATGAATTATCTTAAATATTTTTTTTTTGTCGGTTGCTCACCTTGTTTTACCCATCTTGATTTGAAAACTTGGTCTGTTTACAGACTGCTGCCTAATTTAGAGATTGCTGCATGGTTAGTGACTTACCATGCTTAGCTTTCCTCCCGTCTGCATTTTACTATAATTTCTCTCTTTCTTCGTTTTTTCTTTTTGAAAAATCATCATCATCATCATCATATTTGGAGTATCATTATGTTTAATGCTGTTAATGTACTACTCTTGCATTTAATGTGCAAGGTGCGTACGCAGGGCAATTTGTCATTACCACACTAATGTAGAAGTATAAGACCAGCTGTTCACTGTTTTCCCCACATTTACCTGGAGGTTAGGTAATTATACTTTACGCCTCATTTCTACTGATAAATTACTTTTAAAGCATGCATGGTTACAGTAGAATGCTACTTCTGGGGAGTATACACCTCTTCCGCATCTTAAATCGAAGCAGTTTTGAGGCATGGTTACAGTGTGATTGCAGCAAGTCTACTGTGCTGAAATATCTACTGCTCGTTCGTGCGGGGAGCGCTGTCAAAATTTATCATGCCAAGCAAAAACCCGCATTGAGATTGATGTAAAATTGAATACCCGTGTTGGAAAAAAATGGCACAGAACAGTTTTCGTAAAGACTTTATGAAGCAACTATCATATAATCATATAGAGCACTGAACATAAATAATGTGATTTATTTATTATTTTTTATCCGTGTCATCGCAGGTACGTGGATACAGGATTTTATGAGGTTTATAAAGTCTGGCTCTAAACGTGAAGGCTGCAGATTGTGTGATCAAATGCTCTTGTACTGCATCAGTTAATCTTGGCCATGTCAGTGCGGACATTTTTACTCGCTCTGGTAATTTGCTTCCTATGCTCTGCTGTATATTTGTTTCCACGTCTTATGAGAATCCATACCTTGCCTCTTAATCAATTACCACCACCTCCACTTCAAAGTGACTTTGAAGGTAAGACAATTCAATTTTTTTTTGTATCGTGCATTAATTTTATTTTTACGTGTAAGTCTTATTTTGACTGTTATCATATCAAACGCAATTAAATCTAATCACATTTGATATTCCATTGATGACACTAGTGAATGCCAAAACTGTCTGAAGAGATATGTATTTTGTAGCGATGGAAAAACGTTGATTTTGTTTACTTTTTCTCAAAACTCCACCAGATCTTACTTATGTAGCAGTGCACTTAAAAAGTGTGTCATGCGCTGTGTGATACAGTTGTCGACTCCAACATACAGGCGCGGATCCAGGATTAAATAGAGGGGGGGGGGGGCGTCCGCGTTTGCGATGCCGACTCTCCCCCCCCCCCTCCAACTTGGCGTGGGGTCCCGCCCCCCCCCCCCCCCCCCCCGTTTGTCTGTAGTGATCATAATAATTATTATTCAAAGAGCAAAAATGTCTGTTATTTCATTGGTATTCTTGTATCCATGTTGTGCATTCTTTTGGAGTATACAGAGCTAGTTGTCAGTTTCGATTGAAAGATATGGACCGTATGTTATTTATGCCTCGTTTTTTTTTTTTTTTGCACCAACCCAGTGACACAATTTACGTCTGTTGAATACCAAATCGAGGCTCCCTTCTGGAAGAGAATATGTCTTTTGCAGCCAGCTTAAATTGTGAATTAATATTACATTAACAGGGAGGCATTTGGATAGTAAGTTTATGTTCATTAAACAATAATTTGTCACACCATGTTAGTTTAAGCAATACGGGTTCATTTCAAACTTCAGTTAGTTACCCATGGAGTATATGATATTACAAACCGTTCAGTCCCCAAAAAAAATATGAATCATCAAAAATAATAATAAGAAAAAAAAACACGAAAATATTTTCAGACGATTCCCTACAGCAAATAAGGCCACAACTAGACAGCTTGCAGCTTTTTTAAACTGTGAAATTGCAGTATACTGTAAATACATTTTTGATATGTGACTTGAAGTATTAATAGGGGGGATCCTTAGATAACCTTTTTCCCCAAAACCATGTCAAAACCACCTAAAAAGATACTTTTACATCTTAAAAACAAACTACAAAAAATCAAATCAGTCTATCTCTATTATCAGAGCTGCTACTTGGGTTTTAGTATTTTGGAGAAAAAACGTTAAAAATACTTAAACTCTGTATTTTGTAAGATATGATGGTTTTTCATGTCAATGTTTATGCTTACATTTAAACACACATTTTATTGTGACTGACAATTCTGACATAAAGACGGCCTAAAATCCATATGAAAACTAAACTAAATGTTCTAAACCTAGATAATGGTTCATAATAAGTTCAAAAAGACAGGAATATTCAATAAGAATTCAATTCACTAAGACTTCAATGCTTTTTGGACGCTTAAGTCAGTTAAGTGGATCTTTTTCAAGTTCATTCCAAACTGTTCTGGAGTTTACATCCTTCTCTTCCCTGCTTCAGTATTGAATATCCTGAAGACAGGACTACATTTTGGAAGTGATAAGGATGTGTCTCTGGCGTATGTGCCTCCCCCCCATGAAATTTTAACTCCCCCTACAGAACTTTATAAATCTTATTTTATTTGAGTATATGACTTTTATCTTGTAGTATGCATAATAGAGGATACATTGGCACTTTTTGCTAGTTTGCAGGTGAAAGTTTTCATGAGAATAGAAGGCAATGAAAAATGTGTATTCTACCAAACAATAAATCCCCTATGGAAAAGCTGTTTATTTGATATTTGGTGATCATTTCAATTTTCACCATTTTTTTTTTACCACCAAACTTTCAAGTACTAACAAAATATACGTCACAATGCAAACTATGTGGAAGACTTTTTCTTCATGGGAGCCCAAACACCATGGATATGAAAATGGAGATTTTTCAAGATTTTTTTTTTTTCAATTTTTTTCACCCAATATTTTACAATCAAACTTTCTAATATTTCCAATATATTCTTAATTAAATATACTTAAAGTAAAGATTCTGAAATGATTATCAAATATCAAATAAATAGCTTTTTCATAAGGGAGTCTTTGGGTTGTAGAAGTCATATACTCAAATAAAATAATATTTATAAAGGTTTGTAGGGGAGGGGTAGTCGAAGTTTCATGGGGAGTCAGATTTTCATTATGAAATTTTGACTCGGGGATTTTCATCTTACATCGGTGTTCAGTAGAAACAGTTTTCCTTAATTTTTAGGGGCGGATCCAGAGATATTTTCTGACAGTCTTCCAAATTATCTTTGTTGATCCATCCACCATTTTCGACCGTCTTCCAACAGAAAATAATTAGATACCAGTCAATGTAAACTTGAAAATCTGACCGTCTTCCGGAAGACCCAGAACACCGTCTAAATCCGCCCCTGGTTTTTATCACAGTCCCTCGAGCCACAGCCTCTAGTTTTGATTTCTCCCTCAATCTTTGGTCCGTGTCACCACACTGCCGTTCCATTTGAAGGTTGTGGACAGGGGTCTCATCTATGTTTTCACACTGATGAAACACAGGATATTCAACTGGATATTCACCAAATCCATAGTATTTTCGGTGTTGCATAGCCAGAACTTTTGCCATTTCTGGTAATATCTTCTTTGTTAAAGCTATGCACTCACTCAGATGTGCACTAGCAAATCGTTCCACACTCTCAACTACATGTAGGCCAAAGTTATCTTTCACTTCTTGGTTGAAACATGAAAACTCAGGAGCATATAGCTCAAAGAAATTCTAATTTAGCTTATTTCTACTCAGCTCTAGATGTAATGATTGAAACTTTTCTTTCAATTTGCTGTGTTGCACCCTTGTATATTGTTATGGTATGAAACGGTGTAACTAATTGAATGCCAATGATTGCTACAACAGCAGCGACTATTCCAGAGCATCTCTTACAAGACAAGCTAGATTCCATCATTGTCTAGCTAGTTATTCAGCAATACAGTATAGATACCCAAAAAAGATAATGAAATCATGAGAAATCTAAAAGGACACATGTCATCAAAACTTTGAATAATGAATTACCATGATGATGTTATTGGTATAGGGAGTCAATGCCGCCATGATTTTGAGTATTTAGCTACCTTTCAAATAAACTTTTTACACAAATCCCTTAAAAACGAAATAAAAAAACATCCATTTGGCTTTGGTGAGTTTGAAATAACTTGTCAGGGCTATATAACTTTCATTCATGTTGTAGGAAGACAGTCCCGAAACAGCAGAAAATCGTGAAAATCGCGCTATTTAAAATGCTAAAAATCGCGTAATCATAAATTGCAAGTAGCAGCTGAGTTATCAATGATCTTTCAAAAAGAACATTTGAAATATTGTTTTTAGGTGTGTAAGGAACTTTTTAGCTGGTTTTGACATATTTTTGGAATTATGGACCCCCCCTTCTATTAAGTAACACATAAGCGTTTATTTATTTATTTATTAATTTATTTATTTTTGTTTTCAGGTGTAAATAGGAACATTCAAGATCCACTGTTTCAGTCTGTCTACAACGTACCTCCCATAAAATGCCTACCAGAGGGACAGTGCCAGCCTACCCGACATATTATGTTTCTAAAAGTGCACAAATGCGGCTCAACTACAATGGCAAAAATTTTAAAACTGGCTACTCTTAAATATAAGTTAAAACCTCTTTCTCCGAAGAAGAAAGTATTCTTTTACCCATGGAAATCTAAGTTCGATATCAACCGAAGGAAAATAACCATAAACGACGCCAACTATAACCCGAATGTAACCTATGATATAATTTTCAATCACATGATTTTTGACTCAAGAGTAATAGAAACCATGATGCCGAATGATACGTTTTATATTGGTATAGTTCGCGAACCATTTTCCCAGTTTCAAAGCGCGTTCAATTTTTATCGTATTTCAAGTAAATTCAATTTAAAAAACTCAACGAACCCTGTCGTGGAATTTATGAAAAATCCGTACAGGTATTGGACCGACGACTATGTCACAACCCATGTAGGCTTCTTGAGAAACGCCATGATGTATGCGTTTGGGTTCCCAGACGATAGAAATGATCTTAGGAACAACGACAGATTCATTGCCGAGTACATTGATTTCTTGGACAAGAAGTTCGATTTTGTAATTGTCTTGGAAATGTTGGATGAAAGCTTGGTCCTACTACGCCGCTTGCTGTGTTGGGGCATGGACGACGTCTTATATGTGGTTACTAACAAACGGGAATATGAATACAAAAATGTGAAAGACGAAATTGCTGTGAAGAAACATAGGCTATGGAGCAAAGCTGACTATCAGTTATATAGCCACTTTTTGACAAAGTTACGAAACACTGTTATGTTGCAAGGGTCGGACTTCAATCGGGAGGTATCGCTTTACCGTCAAGCAATCTCGGCACTCGGCAAATGTAAGCGTTTACGTTTAGAAGTTTGCAAAAATGATTTCAAAAATCTATTATCGGGCATATATCCACATTGCTAAGTCTTCAGCAATTCCAGAGCAACTGAGTGATGGTGGAAATTATAGTTAACAATGGAAAAGAAGTGACAACCTTATAGTTTAAAAGACAGGAGTACAACTAGCAACTGAATAATTAGAGCTGTACAGATGTATTTTCATGAATTATTTTATCATTCACGGTATGTGGACTTGCAGTGATAGGCGCTGGCCAAAGCTGTGAAATTCACCGCACAGTGCCTTTTTTTCTCTTTATTTCAATTATTTAAGGCTTGTCGTTAGCGCTTGTCATCTGGTAATGTAGGTATCACGTGGAATACGACTGAACAGAATATATGAAATATTTCTTCAACATCAGAAGAGGACCTCCCCACACAATTCTATCTCCCTCTCTCTTTCAGAAGTAACATTTTTTCTTTCATCCATTAATATGTTTGTATTTGCAAAAATTACGATGAAATATTTCTTATATTTTTCATGCAAAGATAGTTTCTATTTTAAGCTATGGGGCAGAGGTATGGGGCTTACTTCCTGGGCAAGATGGGGAAATTGAACAGTAGAAATTTCACAAATGTTTATTGTAATTGGGAAGAAATGCGTCTTACGTAGCGACAAGGGGTAAATTAGGAAGAAAAACTTTAAAGGTTGGGCGTTTGGTGAAGATAATTTAGTACTGGCTCAAGCTTATGAAAGCACCTGAAAATGGGTTTATTAAAGCGTGTTACGAAAACGATAAGAATTGCTGGCAATACAAGTAAATACACTGTTATATGGGTATGGTTTTGGAGTAGCCTGGATTAACCAGGGAGTGGGGGATGCAAGTTCATTTATAAAGGAATTTAATCAAAGGTGAATGGATTTGACTTCCAGTCACGGTGTAACGAAATGTTTAAAAATATGAAACTAGATGAACCATACGTTGCAGTATTTGATAAAGCTAGTTGTATATCAGTTTAAGCACGATTTAGATGTTCAAATCATCAAGTTGATATTGAAAAAGGTAGACACAGTTAGGGGTAAGTTTCGGTATCAGAAAATGTGTCAGTAATGTAATTGGGTGGTGGTCGAGTGCGAAAGGCACTTCTTGTTAGACTGCCCTCTATATAGCGACCTAAGAAATAATTTCTTATCGGATATTTGTAATTGGGAATTGGGTTCACATGAAATATTTATCATATTGGTGAAATAAAAAATTAGAGAGTTTTAAGAAAAGTTGCGAATTATTTTTAAAAAGCAGAAAAGAAGAGAGTCGTTATTAGAAATGGACGAGGAGATATTCTATGTAATGCGCAATTATAGAAACGAATGATCATCAACTTATTGTTAAAAGGCCGGAGGCCTTATACACAGTGAAATAAACATCTAGTCAAGGTAACCCATAGTACATGTATAAGTGGGGTATAAAGCATCAAACTTCAATTTATATATATAAAACTGATGCTATGAGTACAGAATAATAAAAAAAAACATTTTTGGGGGTTAGAAATCCTTACATACATAAGAAAATCTCTTCTAGTGCTGTCGGTAGTTTCTCTTTGGAATGAAGCCTTGAATTGGGCAGTGGACAATTTAGCAAATTACGAAATTATGGTATTAGCCGGAAATGCAAACGAGCCAAGGCGCTATGTTTCTCCCGCCAGTGCGGCACAGGCCGGTTCTGTTGCTGCTTCGCAAATAGGAGACCTTCTCAAATTACGGAGAGGAAATATTTCTATGGGCACCGGGTGACATGATCAAGAGCCCGGATCTCCGGCACATCCATGGCGAGTGCCTTTGTTGCCGGTGCCGCAGCAGCCTACATGAGTTCGCTTGATTGCAATCCAACGCCCCAACAGGTTAAGACGAGTAAGCAAGCTAGAAAGTGATTACAGACAGCCCCATTGAGTCCAATTGCCGCACAGACTTGATTTGCCATTGTCCGAACTCTTGCGACGCTCACACGGCGTGTGACAGCGTCACTACAACCACTAAGCTTCTCTATGTCGATGTAGTCGCGATGAACCGAAGAAAAGTAACAAGAGTTAAAAGAGTAAAAAAGGAAAAAAAGTCTAAAAGAGCAAGAAAGGTAAAAATAATAAATAGACAGAATTAAACGACCACAGAAGCATTGAGTGATCATTGTCCCATTTCAACATAATTTGTTGATGTGTAAATAAACGGCTTTTAATGAATCCCAGTCTTGTCATTGTTATTAATATTGTGTGTCCCCCAAGACAGGAACAATAAAGATACAACACATTGTTCTCACCAGTTTTTGATTGAATTAAAATACACAAACGTTATTTTAACTTGTAACTTTTCTCATTTTACTGTAATTTTTTCTCTATTTCTCTTCTTCTAATTCTTAATATCATTATTCTTATCACCAATATTTTAATGCTGTTAAAATGGAGTCATCTTGTTTAACAATGACGCATTTCACGGCAATGGAGCTCCAGGGCCATTCTAAGCGGCTCTTCTTCTTCTTCTTCTGTTGGACCCCAAAAGTATTTTGTGAGGACTTTTTGGCCTAGGCCAGGAATCAAGGATTCTGCTGTTGACTGGCCCTCCGGAAACTACGTCATTACTGTACACGTGGTCTGTCGTTCTTTCAAGCTTTGTTATACAGGGTAGACAATTCTAACCATTTTTTTAATTACTCAATGAGGCTGGTCCACTTTTGTAATGTAAAAAATTGTTTATTGGTCATTGCTCGAGTCAAAAATATCAAAGGTTTTGTGATAATGGCGAAACTGCTGCGAGTCCGGTTATAAATGGAATATCTGCAATCCAAGGTTTACTATAAGCTGATGACCTCATCCTTATATGCAAGTACCCCAAGGGACTTTGGCAAAGTTTGGAAATCGTAGAAAAATTATGTTACAAGTGGAGACTGGGTGTTCATGTCACCAAAATTAAAATAGTAATTTTCAACTCAAAATCAAATGCTCGCATTGAAATCCAATAGGTCAACAAATACATGTATCTAGGTCTCCTTTTTAACCGATCATGAAGCTTTACAGAAACCCAAAGTAACCTCCTGCAACGTGCTGCAAAGACATAATTCAGTCTGTTTAAATCTCTTCCACTTAAGAGTAATGTTAACACATCCTTGAAAGAGAAATTTTTTGATATCCTCATTTCCCCAATCTTAACATACTGCTCAGAGATATGGACTACTTTGTGTCAACCGATAACTGCTCTACAGAAAAATTACACCTAAAAATTTGCAAACAAATCCTTGGCCTCTTTCAAAATGTATCAAAGTATGGTGTGTGCACTGAACTTGGCCGCCTTCCTCTCTATACTACAATACAGTCTGCATCTATCAAGCTATGGTGTAAGATTATTCAAATGCCTGATTATACTTAATGAAGCAAGCATACATACATGAGATAAATAGTTACAAGTAACTTACACCTTATGTTCCATCTGCAGTCCACACTCTCAGACCGGCTTGTATGCCATGGTCTGAGGTGACCCGAAAACTCCTTTTCACATTCGACCACTATGCCCAAATATGCAATAGCAAACTTCAAGCCAACAGTAAAATGTCTCTCTTCCGTATACTTAATTAAAATGTGAAAGGGCAACTTATGTTTATAAAATAACAAATTATGACACTCTATCAACCCTTGCTTAGCGATCATAAAATCAAACTCCACATTGAAACTGGACAGCACACCAGGCCAAAAACTGAAAGGTACGTGTGACAGAATCTGTCGCCTTTGTACCCAAGTGGTAATTGAAGATGAATACCATTTTCTATTCCAATGCCCAATGTACAAAGCAGACCGAGACACCCTTTTAAGTAAAATGTCAACCGTAAAAGCTGATACAAGGTCACCAGACAGTCAATTATGCCAAGTATTGAACAGCGCCAGTAAAGATAGTTTAGTCTCCCTTTCCAATTTTATAATAAAAGCATTCAAGAAAAGAAATGATGGTAACTCAGAGTCACATTATCTATATCCGTGTAACGTTGTTATTTACGTATCCATTTCTTATGTAATTGTAGTTCTCCCTATCTTGAAAGTTTGAGCTGCTCCTTTTGTGTAACATGTGATTGTATCCATATGCATCTGGCTTTTATGTTTGTGGTATATTTATAACTACACCAAGGTTTATCTCACCAAAAAATTATTATATATATAATGAATATATATAAATATTTCACTCACAAGTAGGCCACACAATTACCAATTAGAGAAATGGTAATGCACCAGTTGTATTGTCGTTGGTATATTATATTATACAAGGTCATGATAATCTATGTACCAGTACAGAAATAAACTGAAATTGGATCGATAATAATAATCGAGAACTTTGAAGTAAAAATTAGATACCTAATTTGCAAAAGGTTCATCAATATGTAGCAAGAGTGTACTTTTTTACATGGATTTGCAAAATGCCAAGACTTAGACGGTGTTTAATATCTATAAAATGTGCACAATAAATACTGTTAAATGTTCTTTTCATATTGTCCTCAAGATCGGCAATGGGATAGAAAAAAAACTTTACAAGGTGAAATGCTACTTTAGGGCATTTAAAAACGCTTACAAGATACAGGCAAAATACGTAAGGCAACGTGTTGAATTCGGGCAGTATGCAATTTTTTCCTACACGTGTTGTTGTTTAAAAAAACGTCATTTTGATTACTGTTCGCTCACATACAATCCCCATTTAGCTCGTTCAATGTTACCAATGATCAACCATAAGTGATAATGTTGCTTTATATGGGAAAAAAGTGGCGAACACACCTACATGAAAACGTTTTTAATAAGAACCGGTCTGGATACAGCAATAAAATTCAAAAATACATGTATCTGAGACACATTATCACTGCTCTGACAACTAGGTGCCCATTACATGCAAACATGTACTAGCACGTGTAAAAGTATTTATTTGCCAGCCAGACCAGAAATTTCAGAAATTGGTTTACCAGAGGTAAGGGTTAAATACAAAGGATTGCAACTAGTACTGTAAGTAACACATATAATCTATATTGGCGTTCTAGTTACCTTCAGAGATAGATGTTTGCATTAGTCAATTTTGATACATTTAGTTCTCTTAAAAATAAATATTTGTAACAACAAATGTCAATTTCTTTATCACCAGTTACCAAACGACAAAAAGACCCTTTCTTAATTAAAGGTCTTACTCTTTGGTTTACTTTATCCAATAGCACATGGCAGGCAAAAGGGAAAATATCGAAAATCCAAATGTTGTACAAATAGTGCCCTTTTACGATTCTCTTGGCCTAACATGATACAAAATGTTGGTTTTTTTTCATGTAAGTATAATATTTACTAAGACATTTATACACGCACTTTATTTATTTTTTCTTTTTTGTGCTCAATTTTTTGAAGCGGTCAAGCAAATAATATTTTTGCAGGTAATTTTTCAACGGAAGGAAGACGTACAGCGCAAAATGAAGACATATGCGTTACTTCTGGTGGTCTTTGTGGCCTTCCTTATGGTCGCTGTAGAAGGTGCAGCGGTTGAAAGGTATCTTGGTTTATAATAATGTATAACATATACTTAATCAAGATGACAGATTGACGTAAATGTTCATAATCAAAATATCTCCAAGTTGGCTTACAGAATAAAGGGGCGTATGTTAATAAGTTTTTCTATATTCATACTTTTAATTAGATTGATACCAAACAATGAAGAAGGCGCGATGTTTCGGAGGCCATTGAAGCGTGTACGTAGAAACTGTTGCCATAGACCCCCATACTCGACATGGTGTTGTCATGCTGGGTAGAGAAGTGTTTCATCCAGATGTTTGTACAACCACGAGTTATTTGGATGCATCTAGGTGTAAATTTTAAAGAGGAACAATATGGTTAATCAAACTGCTGAACTTTGCAAAGCGTAATTTTTCATTATTACACAGATATTCCTGGGAACAAGCTTAAAAGTTAAATTTATTGTATTCTGTCATAGATTACATCTTTTGGCTGGATTTCACTTTACTACAAGGCTATAGCGATTTCAGAACAAGACCAATATCTTTGAAGTAGTTAGGAAACAAGGAACTAGTTATACAGTTTTACTTGCTAAAATAGTAAAATAAAAGTACTGAAAACTGAGTGTTTATTAGCCTATCTTACTTTGTACATTTCATTTCCCTCATTTAGATTAACACTTTAAATACCAATTGTAATTGGACGTTTATTTCTACACGTCTTGTTTCTCATGCAACTGCTATCCTTCTTTCTGACATTTCTCAAAAAACTTACTTCACAGCACCAGAAACAAATGACATATAAGTTTCAATCGTAGTTTTTTTACCTCGCCCAAGAAGGTTATGTTTTCACCCGTTTGTTTGTTTGTTTGTTTGTTTGTTTGTCTGCCTGTATGTCATCAACATAAGTCAAAAAGTTTTGGACCGATTTTAATGAATTTTTCAGGAACTGTCATGTAGGCCAAGGAATAGATGATTTGTTTTTGGTGGTGATCCAGATCAATAATCAATCAATAATCAATCAACAATCAAAAATAAAAAAAAAACTAAATCATTATAGTACATTGAAACTGTAGGGGTGAAACGGCATTGGGAAGAGACTTTGCTGCCTTGGCGGAGGTCTACGCTCTCAGTCTGCTTTTTCTTGTTCGTATATACGTCAGGTGCTTTTATTTCTCGCACGAGGTCGCAAAATGCCCAGATTTGGTTATTGTTAAATATCTATATCAGGTACACACTGAATTGTAGATAAACTGAAATGTGCCTTTTTGTTGTTCTAAAGGTCTGAAATGTAATTATAAGAAGGTGTATAACAAAGGCAAAATGTGCTTTTGAGGGCTTTTTATACGTTAGCGTGATATCTTATACAGCTTGTACAGTAAAGGCATTATACTTACTCGTGCTGTTCCTTTATGCCCCTATTTCACACAGACCACGAATCCCACGAATCGCCAGGAATTGACAAATTGCCAATTTTCTGGTCTAATTCGACACTATCTACGATTCAGTTACGATACAGGTGCGATAGTGTTACGAATACTCGTGGGATTCGGCTGAAATTCACTATGTTTTTTTGGTATCGGTAGTTCGTGGCCAAATTTTTGAACACTCAAAATTTTTGCCACGAATTCCCGATTGATCAAGAATTGCAAGAACTGACTACGATTATATACGTATCTGTTAAGAACTTCACGAACTGATTACGATTCAACCAAGAATCCTGAAATTTTCAATTCCTGGCGATTCGTGGGATTCGTGGTCTGTGTGAAATAGGGGCATCAAAGTTTTTGCCACTAATTCCTGTTGATCAAGAAGTGCAAGAACTGACTACGAATATATACGAATCTGTTAAGAACTTCACGAACTGATTACACTTTAACCACGAATCCTTAAATTTGTCAATTCATGGGGCACATGTTATCTCTGTTCTTCGCACAACATACACACCAACATGTCTTAAAGTCTTTTGTTTCTTTGCCAGCCACTTTAAGACACTTTAAGGCCACTAACAGTAAAACGACCAAAGGCATAGTAACAATGGCCTGGGCTTATAAGTTTTATTTTATTTTATTTTAATTAAACATACTTCCCAAAAGGCCAATTATAGACAGAGATTTTCTGCAGTCTCCAACGGATGACGCTATAGCGCCAATTTGGGGCGAAAAATACCGTTGTCTGATTTGGGATTTTCTTTATAACCAAGATAGCTATTCAAGTGATTCAAACGGCCTCATAAAGCCGGGTAAAAGCATTTCAATCGGGTTCCAGGGAATTGTCTTAAACTATTTACTTTTGATTTTATAGTCTTTTACGTTAAACTACCCAATATTTCAATTGGTTATTCAATTCAAAATTCGATAACTTTTAAACAAACAATTTCCTCTAAAACCTCTGACATCAGGTTGTAGTCCACATCTTCAACAACAATTAGTGCAACTTTCGTAACGATCGGTTGCTCGGATAGTGAGATATACATAAAAGCGATTCACTTATCTCGTCAATCTAGAAAACTGTTAAAACAGCCAAAACGTTCACAGGTTGCTTAACAGAGCTTATTAGTCAAATGCTTAGCTGGCAAATTTACCTGCTATCGGTAATACGATCAGATGGAACCATTGCTCATTGTCATCTAAAAATATTTTGTTTGGGTGCTTTGAAATGGCAGAAAATCGTGCTTTTGTTATTATTTCCGATCACGCGTTAGACTTGTAAGCGTGCCGCCATTTTAACTGACAGCTCTGGAGAGGGCCCTAGTCTAGTGATGCCCAGTAGGGAGTCAATGATATGTAGAAGGAAGCGCTAACAAAGGCGATTGCGTTTAACCGCAATTAAAAGGTGTAAAGTTGCATTTGAACGTTTCAATGTGTCTTCTTCGGCAATCGAGTAATTTTACCTTGGAGAGTGATCAGATGAAACTCTGTCGAGAGCAAGCGGCCGTCACTTGTGTTAATACGAGTTTTTGACAGGTAACGCTGCAGGATTGTTTTGCACGGCACTTGGTGATTGTCAGATCAACAGAAAATACAGTGATTACTTTACAGCGGTATCTCTCAAAATGCCAGCTAAGATAAAGGGGAGACGCTCAGCGGCACAAGAATCAGCGGTAAAAGAGGCTGAGAGAAGGCTTTTGAATAAAATGACAGAGAGTGGGTGAGTTTTGAAACCACGAACGTTGATTGTAAAAAAACTATCTACTCATATCTTTTGAAGCAAGTAAAAGTTGCGTCGGCATTTTACTGTGGATTCCGTCTAATACAAGATCACTCATCGTACATTAGGCCAACATGAAGTTATTATTTTATGAATAAGTCTGATGTGTTGAGGTACCACGTACCATCCGACTGAACAAATGCCGGTTTTCCCCAACCGCCGCGCATACTCTCTTTCAAATTTTTCTTTTTTCCCTCTGGAAATGGAATTAAAACAAGAACTTTTCTCTTCCCCATAGCGTACTCGACTTCTTCACTGCTTAGCTGATGTAAGACTTATGACCTACATGTATTACCGCACACGTAATCGGCTTATAACTCGTTAACTATGCTCCGCCCCCTCATGGCAACGGCCCTTAGCAACAGAGGCGTAGCTTAGGTGTCAGCCTGACTGGGGCGCGTGGCGGTTGAAAAAAACTCATCAAAAGGCACATTTTGCGGTGTAAATTGAAAAAAACCTTATTACATCCCCCGCACGAAAATGCAGTAGTATCGAAGTAGCAAAGAAGCATTAACGCAGTAGTGGTGTGGAGCATATTTGCAGTAGAAATGCAGCATAGCCTACTGCAATTCTACTTCAAAATTTACATAGGGTTGTACAGAGGAGGAGCATTAATGCAGTAGATTAGCAGCATGATAGAAGCATGTTTCAAATATGCTAATTAGCTCCCTACTCGAAGCAGATTTGAAGCATGTTTGCAGTATGATTGCAGTAGTCTACTGCGCTGGAGTATCTACTGCGTTTTCTTGCGGGCCAACATAAGATACTTTTTTGATAAATATAAACACACAAAGAACTCAAAAACATGATTTTAAGCGTAGTTTACCCTATTACTGGCCATAAATGTTATTTGCTGTTTGCAGAGTTTATGGTAAAATGTTATAATTAATTGCTGTCGTGGTAAATTTTGAACCATGTGCATTATAGATTGTGTAACCCCCTCCTGACTGTCAAGGTGCTTCCATGGCAAGGGTACGGGATCTCACAAATGAACAAAGAAAAGAAATAGTTTCTCTGTGGGAGGAGGGTGTGGGTGTCCCCCAGATAGCAGCAAGTTATTGTGAGTTTGGTTGCAGAAAAATGGGGTCACCGTCAATGCCCATTAGTCACTCCAAAGTGGCCGAAAACGACTATTGCCAGAGACGGCATGTGTGCTTTTATGCTGTCAAGACTTAGAGAATTTGAACCGTGGAGCGACTTAGATTTGCTGTAATTGAACAATTTGCAGTTTGAAGGTCTGTCCAAAGAAGGTTCCTTGCTTCAGAAATTCACACCACGGTTTCCAGGTAGAAACCGCTCATCACCTTGGTAAACATACGAAAAAAAGTTAAATGGGCTGCAAGAGCCATGCCATGGAGCTTACTTCAGCACTGGTGCCATTTTATATATTCTGGCGAGACCACATTCACCGTTTACAACGTGAAATGACAAGTGAGGGCATGAAGAACATCGTCCACATCCTGTCTGTCAGATAACAATTCTGCTGAATTGTATGGTAACAGCAGAATGCTACCTCTGGGGAGTAAACATACATCTAATCCACAAATGAAATCGGAGCAGATTTGAGACATGGTTACAGTGATTGCAGTAAATATCTACTGCTTTTTCTTGTGGAGAGCACTGTCAATTTATCATGCCATATAAAACACCCGCATTGAGATTGATGTATAATTGAATACCCATGTTGGAAAAAGTGTCACAGCACAGCACGGCACGACATTATAAAGACTGCATAAAGGAGATATTATATTAATTAGCCTTGCCATTGCTGTACAGATACGTTAAAACAGGATTCTAATGGGTTTATAAAGGCTGGCTCTGGACTTGAAGGCTGCAATTTGTGTGATCAAATGCACTTGTACTACTTCTGTCGATCCTGGCCATGTCAGTGCGGATATTTTTACTCACTGTGATGTTTTGCTTCCTATGTTCAGCTGTATATTTGTTTCCACGTCTTTTGAGAATCCATACATTGCCTTCTAATCCATTGCCACCACCTCCACTTCAAAGTGACTTTATGGGTAAGGCGATTCAATTTTCTTGGCTCGTGCATTCATTTTTAAATTAAACTGCCAGTCTTATTTTGACTGTTATCATATCAAACGTGATTGAATCTAATCACTTTTGATATTCCATTGATGACACTGGTGAATGTCAAACCTATCTGAAGACATGTATTTTGTAGCGTTGGAAAAACGTTTATTTCATTTACTTTCGTCAAAGCCAATTTTACTTATGGAGCAATACACTTTACAAAAGGTATTAATCCAAAGCTGTACCCAGTTTTATTATTTAAAAATCTAATCAGTTTTGATATTTCATTGATAACCCTAGTGAATGTCAAACTTATCTGAAG